ATGAGAAGCAGCGGCTAATTGTCTCCCCCTCATTTCCAAGTAGAATTACTCCTTGTCTGTGTATCTGGTGAGGCAGTTGACTGCAGGAACCCTTCTACAAAAACTCAGAGCAAAGGGTATCCGGAATCCAGACCACTCCCGGGCACTGAGTGAGTAATATCCTTCTCCTCTTCCCTGCCCTGATCTGAACCCAAATTTTTTGGTCCTTCAAGCTTCATAGTCAAACTGATACCTCTTTTATGACAACTTATTTCCCCTCTCACATGAACCCTGACCCTTCTCCCTATGCCCCTTACCAATCTTTGTGGTTGAAGTTGGACCACTTCCAGTGAGTGACACCCTTACATTCCCAGTCATAAATCTGTTTTGCATCTCACAGACCGTAGCTCAAGCCCTGCTAGAATATGGGTTCTCTGGACTGGAAAGAGTCTTAGGGATCATCTACTCAGCCCTCACCTGACGTTTTAATTTCAAGGTCATTTCTAACATAGCCAAAGTGTCACCCAGCTGTGTTTAAGTATCTTTAGGGATGGAGAAATCTCTCCTTTACACCCAGCCTTCATTACCCAGATCCCAGACCATCCCCATGTGATATCCCACTGGGCCCCAAAGACTCCACCCAGCTGCCTCTCAGCCAGAGCGGTCTGTCTCTGGCCTTACCAACTCCCGGGCTTCCTCTAGCCTTGCTGACCCCGTGGCTCTGGCCTCACTCTTGTTTCAGTCAAGGAGAAATTGACCGCTGACCCTGACAGTGAGGTGGCCACTACGAGTCTCCGGGTGTCACTCATGTGCCCGGTGGGTAAAAGGGGAGAAGGGAACGGGGAGGGGAGCTGGGTTAAACCTCTGGACTTTGAGGAGGGTTCTTAGAGATACCACAGTGAGGTCTTCTGAGATGAAACAAGGGTGGACACTCTGACTGAGGATTCGCCTCTCCTCAGCTAGGGAAGATGCGCCTGACTGTCCCTTGTCGTGCCCTCACCTGCGCCCACCTGCAGAGCTTCGATGCTGCCCTTTATCTGCAGATGAATGAGAAGAAGCCAACATGGACGTGTCCTGTGTGTGACAAGAAGGCTCCCTATGAATCTCTTATCATTGATGGGTAGGGTCATTTTGTTTCCTCTTCCCTAGGGCATTCACTAGGACCCCCTTTTAATGTATACAGCTTACTTTCCTGCACATAAACCCCAGCTCTCACCCTATCCATCCACTTTACCGATACACACACACACACACACACACACACACGGCAACATGAAGAACTTGGTATATGAAGAACTTGGTATATACAAGGCATCACGCTGAGCACTCTGCATGCATTATTTAGTGTAGTGTCATGCTCATGGTCACTGCAGCTTCCATCTGCTGGGCTCAGGCGATTCTTCCGCTTCAGCCTTCCAAGTAGTTGGAACTACAGGCGTGAGCCACCATGCCTGGCTAATTTTTTGATTTATTATAGAGACGAGGTCTTCCCAAGTTGCTCAGGCTGTTCTTGAACCCCTGTTTTAGGCAGTCCTCTCTCACCTCAGCCTCCCAAAATACTGGGATTACAGTCTCGAGCCACCGCACCTGGCTATTTTTATTTTTATTTTTTTTGAGTTGGAGTCTCACTCTGTCGCCCAGACTGGAGTGCGGTGGCCGGGGCCCCCAGCCACCGCAGCCTCGCCTGCTGGGCTCCAGCAATCCTTCCGCCTCAGCCTTCCGAGTAGCCGGAATTACAGGCATGCGCTACCATGCCCGTCTGATTTTTTTTTTATTTATTGTAGAGATGAAGTCTCGCTGCCCAGGCGGATCTCGAACCCACGGGCACAGGCAGTCCACTCACATCAGTCTCCCAAAGGCACGGGATTACAGGCTGAGCCACTGAGCCCGGCTTCCTATTCTTTTTATTCATTCATTTATTTTTTTTTTTTTGAGTTAGAGTTTTACTCCGTTGCTCAGGCAGGAGTGCAGTGGCACACTGAAGGCCACTCCAGTGACCTGCTGGGCTTAGGCTATCCTTCTGACTCAGCCTTCTAAGTAGCTGGAACTACAGGTGTGCACTACCACACCTGGTTAATTTTTTTGTTTATTGTAGAGATGAGGTCTCGCCAAGTTGCCCAGGCTGTGCTCGAACCTGTGGGCTCAAGCAATCCTCTCACCTTGGCCTCCCAAAGTGCTGGGATTATAGACTTGAGCTACCACACTTGGCCTCTTATTTTTGTTTTTGAGTTGGAGGCTCACTCTGTCACTCAGGTTGGAGGGCATAATCACTACTGCTGCAGCCTTGACCTGCTGGGCTCAGGTGATCCTCCTGCCTCAGCCTTTCAAGTAGCTGGGACTACAGACGCACATTACCATGCCTGGCTAATTTTTAAATTTATTGTAGAAACAAGGTCTCGCCAGACTAGTCTTGAATCCTGGGCTCAGGCAGTACTCTTGCCTTGGCCTCTCAAAGTGCTGGGATTACAGGTGTGAGCCATTGCACCCAGCTCTCAGTGCCTTTTTGAGCTGGTTTATGGTTTCTGTGTTTCTGCTCCTTTTGTCTTGTTCCTTGTACTACATGCCACATGTGCTCAGATTGTATTTATTTAAAACTTAGCACTCAGAGTTTGCTAAGCCCTTTTACATACATTGCATTATTTGATTCCAGCAACTCAGAGAGGCCCAACAAGGGTGGGTAATATTCCCATTTTACAGATGAGGAAACAGAGGTATAGGAAAAGTGAGTCATGGAACTCTCTGGCTGCTGTTCCAGCCATCTCCCCAGTCCTATGACTTCCCATCTCTCCCCTCTAGTTTATTCATGGAGATTCTTAATTCCTGTTCGGATTGTGATGAGATCCAGTTCATGGAAGATGGATCCTGGTGTCCAATGAAACCCAAGAAGGAGGCATCTGAGGTTTGCCCCCCGCCAGGGTATGGGCTGGATGGTGAGTGACCCCCTGTTCCCCAGCTGAGCCAAATCTTGGATGGCCTCTTTTCTGAGACATAGTCTTCTTACCATCCGCAGGCCTCCAGTACAGTCCAGTGCAAGAGGGAAATCCATCTGAGAATAAAAAGAAGATTGAAGTTATTGACTTGACAATAGAAAGCTCATCGGATGAGGAGGATCTGCCCCCGACCAAGAAGCACTGTTCTGTCACCTCAGCTGCCATCCCGACCCTACCTGGAAGCAAAGGGTATGAGAATATAGGCTGATGCTAGCAGAGGCTCTCCTGCTTCTGAGAGAATACAGGAACCCCAAGGGGTTAATTTACCCCATAAGCTATTTCTGACACACAGAGGGACAGGGGAAGAAGTCAGGAATGCTTTCTGATCCCTGGGCAAACCCTGGAGCCAGGGAAAGGTGGAGGAGATAGAGGGCATCTGTGGTTCGTCAACGGCTGCTGCAACTCCTCTCTACTCACAGAGTCCTGACGTCTGGTCACCAGCCATCCTCGGTGCTACGGAGCCCTGCTGTGGGCACACTGGGTGGGGATTTCCTGTCCAGTCTCCCACTTCATGAGTACCCACCTGCCTTCCCACTGGGGGCTGACATCCAAGGTATGATGCCAATTACAAGGTGGTCCCTGCACTGCCACACCCTCCCCAGAACCATATCAGAACCCCTGCCCATTTTCAAAGCCTCCTGGTTCTCCTGCAAGGGGCCAAAGTCTGGGAAACTTCTTTGTCTTTGGTGGTAAAAGGGTCGGAAAGGAAGTTGATTTGGACTTTTCTTTTCCTACCAGGTCTAGATTTATTTTCTTTCCTTCAGACCGAGAGTCAGGTAAGTGGTTCCTTCTTCAGACGATCTCAGATCTCTGAGGCTTCCTTTCTAAAGGGCACTGATGGGACCCCTCCCTCTTAGGTTTCTTAGGGTGTAAATCGGCTTTTCTGTGAGGAGTAAGGGGAAGCGGGCAGCTTCCTTCCCTCCTCGGTTCCCACTTGGACTTTCTTAGATCCCATTACTGTTTTGTCCCCCGAGCTTTTTGCATGGTTCTGCCCCTGCCTACTCACCCACACACATACCCGGGTATGCTGAGAGCACCATCCTGCCCCAACTGGACATGCCACACATTTCACACACCCACAAAGCCAAGAAACCTAGGAAGCTAGGGTGGGGGGCTCTCTTAAGGTGGGGAAAGGGGTAGAGAGTGGGGAAGAGAGAGGGGCTCTTCTCAGAGAATACAGGGAGCCCCAAGGGAGTAATTTACCCATAAGCTGTTTCTGGGACGAGTGGCTGGGAGGGAGGTGGTGGTTAGTCAGGATGAGCTCTTAAATTATGCCCTTGATTCCTCTCAGCATTACGGCCCCTCTGTCATCACTTCGCTAGATGAGCAGGATGCTCTTGGCCACTTCTTCCAGTACCGGGGGACTCCATCCCACTTTCTGGGCCCACTGGCCCCCACATTGGGGAGCTCCCACCGCAGCTCCACTCCAGCGCCCCCTCCTGGCCGTGTCAGCAGCATTGTGGCCCCTGCGGGGGCCTTGAGGGAGGGGCATGGAGGACCTCTGCCCTCGGGCCCCTCTTTGGCTGGCTGTCGGTCAGACATCATCTCCCTGGACTGAGTTCCTTGGATTATGGACCCTTCACTGCTCCCCAACACTGAGGAAGTATGCTGTGGAGCCCTGACCCCTGGCTACCCTGACCCCATAGGGGGCCTAGGCCAAAGGCCAGACAGACCTTCACGGATGCCTACTATTGGCCTCATCTCTGCCTGACAAGGCCGGCACCCAAAGGGTTAATATTTAACCTCTTTTTAAGGACATTGGGGTCTATTTTTGGAAATGTTCTTTGGACAGTGGTACATTCCTTTGGGAATGTTAACCCAGGCGATGGGATGGGAGGTGAGCTGGGAGAAGGGCTGAATCCTTAGCCTTGACTCTCTCTAAGCCTCTTGGGGAAGCGGCCCTTCTCTTGTGCCCGAGGCGCGCTCTCTTCCCATCCCAAACCCATGGCTCTGTTTCTTCCCCACATCCATTGTCTCTTCATGTCCATTCCGTTCCCATTGACCACACAGACAGTGGAGAAACTAAGACAGTTTCAGAGGTGGACAGAGAACTTTATTTTGGGTTGTGGGTTTTTTGTACATAAACAAGAAAAACCAAAATACTCCAAAGATGACTCCTCCTGCCTCCTGCTTCCAGTGTGATGAGGAGGAGATAAGGCCTTAGCCATGATCCCCAGAGGTTTGGAAGCAGGGCCTGGCCTATTGCCTGGGTCTCTATTTATATATTTAAGTTCACAATGTTTCTTATGCCAACCAGCCTGGGGCCTAAGTTTCCAGAGGCCTTGGCCCTGTGGTTAGACCTGGCTCATTCTGTACCTTTCTGGGGAGGTGGGAGGACCCTTGTGCCCTCCTTCTTAACCTCTATTTTCAGGCTCTTCCAGGGCCTAGGACTTATGTTGTAATTTTGCTTTTTATTCCCAAAGTTGTAGCAAAGTTCTCATAATAAAGATTGTGAATGTTCTGTGAGTGTCACAGGTGGGCTAGGGAGGGAATGATATACTTCACTTTGCAGATCCCTGGTTTGGGGAAGAGAGTCCGTGTTCTGTTCTTCCTTTGCTGGGTCCATGTGAGCTTCACCTTTACATGTGGGCTGTTACACTGAGGATTTACAAAAGCAGTTGTTTCTTCTTCCCTCTCCCCCATGCCCCTAAAAACACTAGACCATTCCAGTCCAATGCTGTGGAACTCTCAGGTCCTTCCTCACCTTCACTTGCCCAGATGCTGCAGCCAGAGCCCGAGGGCAAACTTGGTTCCAGTGCTGACCCTCTCTTTGTCCTCTGCTGTGGCTGGGGTTGTCTGCAGCAGTGTGGACATGGGTAGGACCAGAGGTTGGGCTCTTCCATCCTTTAGTTCCACTGCACTGGTAATGACAACTCCTGTAAGGGTTGTGCTTTGTAGTTTCCAGAGAACTTCCTCCCAAGGACCGCAGGAGGTGGGTGGGTGGGTGGTAACCTCATTTTACAGAAAGAAAACCGCTTCAAGGAGGTTAAATGATTCATCCCATGGGAGAGCTGAGACTGGAGCCTTCAATGCTAGCCTGTCAGAGCAGGAACTCTTGGAGTCTAATGGTCAGTTGTCTTTGATCTTGTGTTCTCTATCAACTGACCAAGTCTCCCTTAATCTCCCCACAATGCAAAATGCCATCCTGGGCAGTAGGAGCTGAATCTCTTCAAGTGTCTGTGTTGGTGTGTTGGAGGCTCAGGGAGAAGCTCATACTTACAGGATGGAGGGTGGTAGGTCCTGGGGGAGAAGTCTGGGTGTCTCTGTCCCATCCTCTGTGGCAGCCACTGCAGCCGCTACATCTGGTCCCAGCCACATGAGAGCGCTCACCTCACTTGGGTTTGGTTGGATCCGGGCCTGGGGTCAGACATGTTGACTCTTCAGTGCTGGCCTGTCTCTGGGAGGCATCTTCCTGATCACAGCCTATGCCCAGGTGGCATGGAGAGGGGCAGGGACAAGGGGCAAGGCTGTTGGATGTTCTTGGTTATCTCTGATCCTCCTCCCGCCATCACAGGAGCCCCATTTCCTTCCCTCAATGTCAGCCCTACCTGTAGCTGCTGCTGTGTTTCCTGGGAGATGACAAGTAGGTACAGAACAATGTGATGGTATTTGGGGAGACCCCAGCTCAGCCTAGGAGGGTAAGCCGACTAAGAAGAAAACAGTGAAAGTGGTGACTTCCTGCCTTATCAGACTCTGTCTAAAACTTTAAGGTGAAACAATGCTGGCTAGAGCTGAGGACAGATGGTAGAGAAGGTGCAGCAGGGACACAGGTGAGGGGTGTGGGTTTGGGGGTTTCAAGCCACGTATAAGCCACTGTTTGCCCTGTGGCCAAGGCAGATAGGGGCTGATTGATGGAGCTGGTGGGGAGTTGTTGAGGTCTCCTGGTTAAATAGGGAGGGACTTCTCCCAGGCCCTTGGCTTACCTCCCATAACCCCAGAGGGGCCCAAGAGAACTGGCCCTGGGGCAGCTGTAGTCCACTCTCCTCCCAGAGCTCTCGAAGCCCTCCTTCCAGCAGCTGGGGAGACAGAGCAAGCGTGTTAAGAGTGGCCAATGCCTGAAGACTCCAAGTCCTTGTGTTTCCCCCTCCCTTAGCTCACACCCAAGGTGGCCCCAGGCATAGGTCTTTTGGCTCAGGGTTGGGTGCAGGTTGGGTCAGATGACTGGTTACCTCCTCATCGAGTTCCACATGCCCACCTGCAACAACAGTGGGATCAATAGGTGAATGGTGGTGGTGTTGACTAGGGCCCCACTCACTGTTGGCACTCCCCTCCTGGGGACAGACACATGGAGCTGCAGCCCCTGGTGGTGGTGAACACGCTGCATTTCTGGGCCCACTTCTCTATCCTGAGACCCGGAAGAGCAAGCAGTGTGGGAGAAAGGGCAAGTTTCTTTCCTGGACTTGGGACTTTGCCCCAGGATGCTCACCTGGGGGTACCCAGAGGTTGGGGGAGACGGTGAGGGTGCGCGTCCTTCGAGTCAACAAGACGGTCTGGTCGCTGGACTGCAGGATGATGGCCACACCCAGATCCACACCTCGATCCGCGGGCAGCTCGCTTCCGGGGACCCTGGGCGGCTGGTCCAGGGCCGCGAAAGGGCAGAAAGGGGGTCTCTGGCGGGAGGGAGCCACTTAGGTTAAGTCTTCAGAAGCGGGGTAGGAACGGGGGGCGATGCTTTCGCCAATTTAGCGGCACCGCGCAGCGGAGGAGGGGCCGCGTCGGGGCGGCGGGCCGGCCCCTGGCCTTTCCCGCCGGCTCCCACCCGGCCCAAGTCCGTCTTGGGCCCTTCGCGCCCCCCGCGGGTCCCCCTCTCCCGACCTGGAGCGGAAGCCTCGCCGAGGCGCCTGGGAATGGCCTGCTCGAGAGAACGAGCCGTCCCCGCTGTAAACTGCAGTGCGTGGGCCACGGCCCGAGCGCCGGCCCGGCGCCCAGGAGGCCACACACACTCCGCGCGAAGCTCGCCGGCTCCGGACGCCCGGACAGGAGCAGCAGCACCCGCGCCGCGGCCATCACGCGGCTCTGGCGCCGCCGCGGCCCGGCGGGCGCCCTCTGGTGGCCCAGCGGCGCGGTCTTCGCCTTGGAAGGATGTCGGCTCTCCGGGCGTCCCAGGGAAACAGGCACCCTGCGGGCGGCCCGGGGTGTTACGCTACTAACCCGGGAAGACCATCTCTAAGTCCTCTGCCCTCTCGCGTCTTCTGCTTAGGACGACGACTCTTAGGCCGAACGATTTCTGGGCTGACAGGGCGCCTCCCACCAGCCCTCGGCTGAGCTAGACGTGCACCCCTTCACAGCACTCTGCACGCCTGTTGCAGCAGGTGTCACCTCGAGTTAGTTACCTGCCTGCAGAAACATTTTGGACACCACCTTCCTTCCTTTCATTTCCCCCAAATTACAACCAAGTGCCACAGATTCTACCTCCTTAAATCCATGTCTTGGCCGGGCGCGGTGGCTCAGCCTGTAATCCCAGCATTTTGGGAGGCCGAGGCGAGTGGATTGCCTGAGTCCACGGGCTCGAGACCCACCCGGTCAACTTGACGAGACCTCGTCTCTACAATAAATCAAAAATTAGCTGCGCGTGGTAGCGCGCCTGTAGTTCCGGCTACTTGGCGGCTGAGGTGGAAGGATTGCTGGAGCCCAGCAGGTCGACACTGGGGTGGCCGAGTGTGCCACTGCACTTCAGCCTAGGCGAAGGAATGAGACGCCAACTCAGAAAGGAGAAAAAAAAAAAAAAAAAAAATTCGTGCCTTGCTCTTCATCTCCACAGCTTCCCCCAGATTCTGCCTGAAATATTGCAAGTCTCCAAACAGTCCTCCCCGCAACCCCCCGCGTCATTCTCTACAGTGCGGCCAGGTGATATTTCTAAAACACAAGTCTGATGATATTGCTCGCCGTTGCTCTCTCAGGATAAGACAAACTCCTTAGAACAGTGCGGCCAGGACCCACCAGTCCTTGTCCCTCCCTGTTTCTGCAGCCTCAGTTCTTTTTTTTTTTTTTTTTTGAGTTGGAGTCTCACTGTCGCCCAGACTGGAGTGCAGTGGCCGCTCCCCGCCACCGCAACCTCGACCTGCTGGGGCTCCAGCTATCCTTCCGCCTCAGCCTTCCAAGTAGCTGGAACTACAGACGTGCGCTGCCACGCTCGCTAATTTTTTGATTTATTGTACAGATGAGGTCTCGCCTGCCCAGGCGGGTCTCGAACCCGCGGGCTCAGGCAATCCACTCACCTCAGCCTCTCAAAGGCGCGGGATTACAGGCTGAGCCACCGAGCCTGGCTAGCACCATTTCTTGATGGGACCCATGCCGTTTTCTAGTCACATCTTATCTGTAGTTTCCCCCAAGAAAGTCTGCTCCTTTCTGGGACTCTTTTCCCCTATTACCTGGAAAAGCTTTGTCTTAAAAAAAAATTGCTGTTTTTTGCATATTGATACATATTAGATGAACAAATTTTCAGGGTACTGTGACAACTGAGATTCATATAATTAAATCAGGGTAATTGGGATACTGACCTGTTGAACATCAGGTTTTCATGTCTTCTATGTATTTGTACTGACTAATCAGCCTCTTTTCATTCTCCCCTTCCCACTTCTTCCCTCTATCTGGTCTCTGGTAACCACCAATCTACTCTTTATTTTCATGCGATCCACTTTTTTAGCTCCGAGTGAGAATTGCAATATTTGTCTTTCTGTGCTTGGCCTATTTTAATGATCTCCAGTTCCATCCATGTTGCTGAAAATGACAGGACTTCATTCTTTTTTACGGTTGAATATAGACCACATTGTCTTTATCCATTCACCTGCTAATGGGCACTAGGGCTGATTTCATGTTTTGGCTATTGTGAATATAGTGCTGCAATAAACATAGGAGTGAAGACATTGCTTGGATAGACCGATTTCCGTTCTTTTGAATATATACTCAGTAGTGATTGCTGGGTTTTATAGCCCTATTTTTAGTTTTTTGAGGAGCTTCCATACAGTTTTCCATAGTGGCTGTACCAACAATGTCCAAGGGCTCCCCTTTTTTTCCATGCCCTCCCCAACATTTATTCCCTTTTTGATTAAAGTCATTCTAACTGGTGTAGATGATGTCTCATGGTTTTGATTTGCATTTCTCTAAGTGATGTTGAGCACTTTTCATGTACCCTTTGGCCATTTGCATGTCTTCTTTTGGAAAATGTCTATTCAGATCTTTTGCCTATTTTTAAATATGATTGTTTTTTGCTATTGAGTTGTTTGAGTTCCTTATATATTCTGGTAATTAATCCCCTGTGAGGTGGATAAGTCTGTAAATAAAAAACCCCTCATTTTCCAAACTAGTCACTTCCTTTACACTCCCTTTCCTGTCCCGCCTGGCCCTTTTCCCTTCCTTGCTTCCCTGTGTGTAGTACTTAATTCTTCTTTTACAGCTCCCCAGTACTTCCTTGGACTTGTCTCCTCTCACCAGGCTGTATGCTTAAGATTTATTCATCTTGGTATCCTAAGGCCTGGACGAGTACATGGCACACAATAGGTGCTCAGTAAATGATGCTGAGTGGCTTGAGGACAGAGATAGTATCTCATTTATCTTTGTATATTGTGCTAAGTATGGTGGCTGGCAATCAATTGACACTCAAATGTTTAAAGAATTAGAACAAACATTAGTAGAGGAGACTAAAACCATTATAAAATAACATCTAACTGCTTTAAATGAATTGAAGTTGCTGGGACAAATTATGTTCAAGATACCGAGAGAGGATTTAGAGTTGCCACTTTTAAGGAACCATGGAGAGGAGAAAGGCAATAATTTAATGTGTAGTTACCATATGCTGGGCATTGTGCTAAATGTTCTACATATAGTTTCAGATGTGTCAGAAGCGTGAAGTTGGCAAATGTGGCTTCTATCCACAGATTCTAATGTGAGTGCTTGTGCCAATCCACCTGCCAGCCCAGAAAATAGCTTTTGTTCCCCACTCCATGGTACTTTCTCACATTCCCTACACAATGTGTGTGTTAAAAATCACAGCTCAATGAAATAAAGAACAGGCATAGACATTTGAAAATAAAATTAACTGCTTAGAAAGATGTTTCCTACTTCCAGGGATGTTCAAACAGAAGCTTGGCTGACTTCTGGATGGCAACCAATGCATCCTGTTGATTTAAGGTTCCTTCTACTGCCAAAATTTGATGAGGGGATATATTGATGTATTTAAGACAGAGTCAGCAATTTTTTAAAAATGTCAAACTCTTTCAGATGTATCCTGGGTAGGAGGAATAGAGAGGTGGTTTCAGTATAAGAATCTGCAACTTATCCCACAGCAAAGAAGGTATCTAGGCACCTCCTTTATTTTTTGAGTAGGAGTCTCACTCTGTCGCCCAGGCTGGAGTGCAGTGGCATGCTCAAAGCCACCACAGCCTCCACCTGCTGGGTTCAGGCGATCCTTCCACCTCAGCCTTGCAAGTAGCTAGAACCATAGGCACCTGCCACCAAGCCCAGCTGATTTTTTTTATTTCTTAAAGAGATGAGGTCTGGCCAAGTTGTCCAGGCTAGTCTTGCAGCCCTGGGATCAGGTAATCCTCTTGCCTTGGCCTCCCAAAGTGCTGGGATTACAGACGTGAGTCACTGTGCCTGGCCAGGCACCTCCTTTATTGCTCTTTCCATCCTCTCAAATCTTGTGAGGAAGATTTTTCTTCTGGGTCATTCATTGTCTCTTCATGGTGCTTTCAATGTAAGACTCCAGCAGGAAGATGGTTTCATCTACCTGGATCTCACTGGCATCCAACCTAAGTGAAAGAGTGAGAGCATCTGCCCAGACTGAATATTCATTAGCATATTTAAGATTAGATGCCGGGGTGGATGTAGCCACGGAGAATTGCTTGGTTACCCTCGAGAGTAATGGATGGAAAGCAGGAGAACCAACAGATCATTCTGTGTCAGGCATTGTGGAAACTGCTGAGGATGCAAAATACAGAGCCTTTGTCCTGGGGGAAGGTAATGTCTAATTTGCAATTAGGAGAAAGAACAGAACATATAAAGGTATAGGCATAAAAAGATGTAATATGTTTTAAAATAGCAAGAAGCTGAGAGTGGCTGGAGCTTAAAGCAAATGGTGATTAGGAAAAGGAAACTTCTTCAACTTGATGAAAGCTACCTAGGAAAAATCCACAGCTAACATCACACTTAATGGCAAAAGATTGCAAGCTTTTCCCCTGAGATCAGCAACAAGAATGTCTGCTCTTGCACTTCTTTTTTTTTCTGAGTTGTAGTCTCACTCTGTCGCCCAGACTGGAGTGCAGTGGCCGCTCCCGGCCACCGCAGCCTCGACCTGCTGGGCTCCAGCGATTCTTCCGCCTCAGCCTTCCAAGTAGCTGGAACTACAGGCGCGCGCTACCACACCCGGCTAATTTTTTAAAATTTATTTTAGAGATGAGGTCTCACCAAGTTGTCCAGGCGGGTCTCGAACCCACAGGCTCAGGCAATCCACTCACCTCAGCCTCCCAAAGCACGGGATTACAGGTTGAGCCACCAAGCCCGGCTGCTCTTGCACTTCTATTCAAACTTTAACTGGAGGTTCTAGCCAGGGCAATTAGGCAAGGGAAAAACAAAACAAAATCAAGATATCCAAGTTGAAAAGGCTGAAGTAAAACTCTATTCACAGATGACATAATCCTATATAAAGAACGCACACAAAAAAACCCATAACTAATAAATAAATTTAGTAAAGTTGCAGGGTATAGGCCAGGTGTGGTGGCTCATACTTGTAATCCTAGCATTTTGGGACACAGAAGGATTGTTTGAGCCCAGACAGGCAACATACTAAGAATTTATCTCTACAAAAGATACCAAAAATTAGCCACATGTGGTGGCACACGCCTGTAGTCCCAGCTACTGGAGAGGATGAGGTGAGAGAATCGCTTGAGCTCAGGAGTTTGAGGCTGCAGTGAGCCACGATCACATCAGCACTCCAGCCTGGGCAACAGAATGAGACCCTGTCTCCCACTGCCCAAATTGCTAGATATAAAATCACGACACAAAAATTG